GGCGACCAGGGCGATGAGCTGCCCCCGCACGGACGGGGCAGTGGGGTACCGGCACCTCACACCAGCCGAGCCGAAGACATCCAGCTCAGATCACCGGGTGTCTCCGAGCCGGGGGCTGCTGGCTGGAAACTGCCCGTGAGACTGAAAATTAAAAATTAACCGTTTTCAAGGCAACACCGGGGGCTTTCAGGAATTCCCACCCCTCCCCTGAGAGTCAGACACTGCCAAGGGACACTGTGGCACATGGCAGCAGCTGTAGATTCCTCTCTGCTTCGGGAGCAGAGGCCAAGGGGATGGCACCTCACAAAGCACTGTGTTCCCGTCGTCTTTGTCTGACCTGGCACAGCCCAAGCGCTGGGTCGATGCTGTCTGCATGGCACCTTCCCTGCTAGGCCGGGCTGCCCACTAGGCTTACTAGTCACAGGAGGACCAGTACAGCAGTATCTCACAGCAGCTGGGCATGCCTGCCTGAGACGCCCCCTCCAAAGCCCTCTGAGTGAACAGGGGACTCCAGCAGAACTGTGGTGTAACAGCAAGGGGGTAGGGGAAACCATAATCACCATCCCTGGAGGTATTTTTGAAAGGTGTAGATGTGGCACTTTAGGGCATGTTCTAGTGGATATGCTGGGGTTTTTGTGGGTTGTGCGGTGGTGGTGGTGGTGGTGTGTGGTTGTGGTTTGTTGTTTTGGGTTGGATGTTTTAGGGTTTTTTTGTTTGTTTGTTTTTTTCTTTACCCTGAGTGGACAGTTGGACTCTGTGATCTTAGAGGTCTTTTTCAACTGTGACAATTCTGTGATAATGTGAACACTGCCCTCATCCCCCTTCTCTTCCCAGCACTGAAGGAGGATTGGATGTCCAGTGGGAAGTTACACCTTGCTGCTCTCAGATTTTCTGGTCTGCTCTCTGAAGAGCCTGACCTGGCACTCTGCCTTCATACTTTAACTGAGGTTACTTTCACTGATGAGGGAGAAGACTTGCGAAATAAGCCAGGGCTGTGGTGAAGCCCAGATAGCCACTTTTCCATTTGCAGCTTGTTAGGGCTATAAATACATAGATCCTACCTGGCCTGCCAGCCATGGGGGCTTAGCAGCTCTCTGTGTGTGCTGGGGTCCCCCACATGCCATAAGCCCCTGCCTTGTGCCACCCCCATGGCAGGCAGGGAGGGGGTTGTGCCCATCTCCAGGGGATGACCCTTCCTTGACTTCACCCTCCTCACCCTCTGGTGTACCTCAGGTGGGAATGCCACCATGGAATTCCAGAACCTTGGTCACCTTTGCTCTATGTTGTGAGTGGAGAAAGGGCTGTAGGCTGCACCCAAACATCCTGTTTTCCATGGGAGCAGGACAAACTGCACGCATGGAGAGTAGGGCCTGTGCTGCAGGACCTTGGATCCTTCTCATCTGGGGAAGCTCTGACCTGAAGGCACCACAGAAGGCATGTTTTCGGGTGGTTGGCAGTCCACAGCTTCTCTGCCTCTTCATGTACCCCCCTTCTGCATGTGCCCACTGCAGCCCAGAGAGCTCAGTCCTGGCCTCAGGAAGGCTGTTTGGTCAATAAATACTGACAGTGAAAAGAGGCAATGAAAAAAAGGAAAGCAAAAAAACAAACAAAACAAAACAAAACAAAGCCAACAAAACCAACCAAAACCAACCAACCAACCAAAAAGAACAAAACCCCAAAACCAAACAAAAAAAAAACAGGGGAAAAAAAATCCCCCCCAAATCACCACCAAACCCTCTTTGGGTTTGCGCAAGTGGCCTTGATTCCCAGACAATATCGATCCCCAAGTCTTCCACCCTGCCTGTGTAACAGCTGTGTCAGCAGGGACCCTTCAGGCCTGAGTCCTGGAGGCACCAGGGCCTGGAAGTCTGGATCTCAGCATGGTGGCTTTGGCAACCTAATGTGGAGATGTAGGTCGCAGCTTCAGCAAGGCTTGGTGGAAGCGATTGCCCCAGAACACATGCAATATGAGCAAACACTGTCTTGGGCTAGTGGTTGTTCCATCCCTACAGAAGTTGTCACAGGTCCTCAGGGGCAACGTACATCCAGCCAGAGCTGCTCATGGCTCCAACCACCTCGGCCTGATCCTGGTGTGGGACAGCAGGTGCAAAGCCATCCTTCAAACCAGATGGGGAAAGGGTCTGACACCACCCTCCTCCCTCTGATGACCCTGTTCCCACCTGGTTCAGTTCTGCCTCCAGCCTCTGAGGTGGGGTCATCGGTGCTTGCAGGGTGGACCACAGGACTGCAGTCACCCAGCTCCACTCCACTGTGGGAGATCGCTCTGGAAGCTCCCATTGTGAACCTCCTTCTCCCACCCCAGCATCCTCTCCCTGCTTTCCCAGCCCTCACACATGGGGATCACGTAAGAAGCAGTGGAGAAACCCTAACACGAGATTATGTAATGGGCAGAGCTGCCCTTTGCTCCCAACTCTCATGGCACTGACATGTCCCACTTTGCCACCAGCCATGCTGGCAAGGGGCAGTGACAGGGGCAGCTGCTCCAGGCCACAGGCCAGGGACGCGCGCAGAGGTTGCTCCCCAGTAAGGGAGCTGGCGTGGGGTTGTAGGCAAGTGAGGGTGGCCTGGGCACTGTGGCTTAGGCAGTCTTGCTTGGCAGTCCGTGTCCACTTTAAAAGAGAGAAGAGTTGCCTAGTTCTGTCCTGACTTGGGAGAGGAATGGTGAAATACATATGGTTTTGGTGGATTGGAAAATTTGGCCCAGCCAAGGAATGGTGCCTTCCCTAGTAGGAATCAAAATTGCCCTGTATCCAGAGCCTCCCATACCATGCCCTGGATCTGGTTGAGACAATTCAGGGGTTCTGCATTCTCCTGGAAGAGGCAGCCAAGGGGCAGAGAGCTGAGAGCCGTGGAGGCCGGAAGCATTGCCATATTTGGGCATAGTGTGTCCTGGTGGTGGATGACCAACCCCACTGCCTGGATTTCATAAATAAGTTGCTGGCTAGAAGGGGACCCACAGAGTGGGTCAGTTCTGTGCCATCTAAGGGCCGTCTATGGTAGGGCACCTCCATCACCTTGCACCTTGGGAAGAGGTGGAAGATGTATTGGCTAATGACAGAGCAGACATACATGCGTACACATACATGTGTACGCTGCAGCTGGGAGTCTTTTATTGAATACCAGGTAGCTGGGATGCTTGGAGAGGGAGACACTATCCTCCCACTGGGATCAACTTCCCCTTCCTCACCCCCTTAACTTAATGTCCAGCTGACGAGTGAAGCCCCACGGACGGCCATCTTCCTTCTGATCTAGCTGTCCTCCAGTATCTTTTCAGCTTTTATCTCTGCCAAGCAGCCTGAGGTGGCTGCTGCTGGGACCTGTTACCTGAAGAGCATGTGTTTGTATTGCAGCACTGAGGGCCGCACCACGGTCTTGGTCTGGGACCAGCAGCAGAGCATGCCAGGGCTGCCCTGAGCTGCCTGGGGAGTCGTGCTCTGCACAGTCCTGCAGGTGGAAGGGTCCAGTGTCCACCAGGAGCCAGTCTCAGAGGCCATGGCTCATGGGCAGAGAGGAATCCGTGGGCACGGGGAAGGGAGCCGTGTGGGAGTTGAGGGAAGAGAGGACTTGCAGATTCAGTATCACCCTGAATGCTTAAGCTTCAGGGAAACACCTTGGCAGGGTTCTCATCTCTCAGCAGCTCACCAGGTCAGACACTGCCAGAGAGAGAATAGGAGGAAGGACGCCCTGCACAGCACAGGTCCTGCCCTCCTGCTTCCTCAGGCAGCTGGTCAGGTACAACCACAGGCATCGACAATCATGTCAGGGATGTCAGTCTTGACAATGTTGCTGTCCCGGTCATAGTAGAGCAGAGAGAGGGGGCGACGCTGCGTGGGCACACAGCAGGAGTCCACTGCTGCATCTGCATTGTTGGCTTTGATGAGGTTGAGGACAGCCGTGTGGAAGGAGGCGGCGAGGCCAGGGATGCCAGCCATGTGCAGGGGGCAGAGTCCCGAACAGTAGTTCATGTGATATCCTTTGGGCTGGATGATCCAGTCCTCCCAGCCGATCTCTTTGAAGTCTATGAAGAATTCCTTGCGGCAGCACATCCTAGAGTCCCCACTGCAATCAATGCCACGCCGCTGGACCCGGTGGGATGTCCTGGCTCGGGCCTGGGCTGCTACAAATGGCCAGTGGGAATCACTGTGCCCAGCCAGGAGGGGAGACCCCCTGTTCTCCACCACGTCCAGCTCCACAGTAAGCCTCTGGCTCCCTTGGCCAAGGAGGCTCCGGACAGCTTGGCCCACATCCAGCGTGACCCAGCCAGCTCTCTGTACTTTCAGTCGTGTCTCACTGGCCACAGTCATGTTGAGCCCCGCCGGGTCTGGCTGCAAGAGTCTGACTGTGACAGGGTGTGTCCCAGTGCCAGGGATTGCCCAGAACAGGTATAGGGTGGCTTGCAGGATCTCGGCGCTCCCAGCAAGCTCCTGGGTGAAGTGGAAATGTAGGCAAATGCTGCGGGAAGTGGAGGACCCTGCAGACAGAAACAAATGCAGAGTCAAGGTGAAGAGGCCACTCCAGCCAGGCGCCACTGAGTTGGAGCAAATGGAAGGTATGTCCAAACTAGGGAGTCGGGCACAGTACGTACAAGTGTAAAGGGGCCCCCACTTCCCTGCACTGCCGCTGCTTCTCCTCCTGATGCCGCTCTAAAGCAGCAGAATCTGGGCCTAGTGCTGAATATAGCAACCCAGCTTGGTTCCACTTCCTCTGGCCTGATATCCCGCTTGTCATTATAGCTGCTGGAGGATTTTGGAGTAGGTTATCTGGCTGTGTAAATCCAGCCTTGGCTTTAAGGCAGTCATGCTGATTTGCACCTCCAGGATTACCTCTGATTTCCATGGCTGGAAATGTCAGCTGACATCACTCCAGCATGTCTCACTCTTGCTGCTGCTGAGGCTGCAGAGCTGCCTCTCCTCACAAAGGAAGAGCTGATGGGGACTGAGCAGTGCTGGGTGCCCAGGCACAGCTCTGCCCATGAGGACACAATCCCCCTCCTCTGTGGTCTGGCACAATGCAGCAGGGTGAGAAACTGGGCTCAGCCCAGTGGCTCACACCACCAAGCCAGGAGACAACTCCCCATCATCCTCATGTGTGGGAACACAACATACTGCAGAGGAGCATTTCTCCCAGATGCCTTCCAGGACATGGCAAGCCCTCACTAGCCCACAACAGGCATACAGACCACACAAATACCAGCAAGAGGGGTATGAGCCCCCTACACTGCACTGACCAGTGGTTTGGGCTGGGCAAAGTGGTGGTGCAGAAAGATGCTCTCCAGAATGAGACTAGCGATTCTGCTTCTTTTCTAAAGCAGGCTGCATTTGCATTTGAGAAGTGGGGGGTATAGGAGACTGTTTTTCCAGTGATAATTATTAGGACCCCTAAGCACATTTTGGGAAGCTCTCCTACTGATTCTAGAGTGAAATGTGGCAGCCCACCACTTCCGGTAGGAAGTTGAGACACGGCCGAGTGTGGGGAGCAAATGGGCTTTGGAGACCTAAGTACACACACTACAAGCTGATGAGGAATCTATTCGTAAAATAATGTTTTTAAAAACATCACCATCTGACCCTTCCACCTCTAGCAAAAGTAGGGAGGGTTCAACAGAAATGGACAAAAAACCTCACATGGATACAGCAGTCCATCTTCGCTCCTGCCCCAACATATCCCATATGTAAATGACAGAGGCCCCAGAGCTTCAGCAGTGCTTCTCCTACTCATAGCATGGGGTGGCTGGTTGGAGTAAGCATGGAACATGGATGTAAAAGTTCTGGATGTGAAGCCTTCCAGCAGCAGTGTGCCCACTGCCCCAGTGCATAGCCTGGCATTGCTTGCAGGAGTGTGATGCCCTTTTGCAGAGCTTTTTAAATGCCTGTGCAGAGGGGGAAACCTCTCATCACCTTCCTCAAGGCAAAACTTTCCTTCCCTCTGTGCCCCCTACCTCAAGGCCTGTCCCACCATGCCCATGGGATGTGGGGTCTATACAGACCTGACTCAGCAAAGCTCAAGATCTCGTATTCCTGCACACCCAGGTGTGGGACCCTGCTGTCATGGGGCATTCCGGGTGACACAGCCTGATCCACGTGCTGCATACGCATCCTGCGGAGAGCAGTCAGCAGGGCCCCCCTGGACGTGGGCTGAGTGACGTTGGGCCTGTCTGGCAAGTGGAGCTTAGAGAGGATGCTCTGCTTTGCCAGTGCGATGAGAATGTCCCGCTGTGTGGTAGGGGCCAGAGCTGCCAGCCCACAGGCTGGGGAAGTCCCTTGGGAGCCGCCATCCTCAGAAGGCTCAGGAGCAGGAAAACCGTCATGGCCGCCATCTCTGGTGCCAGAAGGTGACAGTTTGGGGGTCTCAGCAAATCGCGTTCCTCTGGGACAGCAGCGCTTAGAGCCGGAAGAGCAGAGCGTGGTGGCAGGACGGCAGCGCCGGACTCCGCAGGAGCGGAGCGTAAGGAAGGGCTCGTTCTCCTGACGTGACCACAAATATTGGCTGATCTCGGGCAAGATAAACGCCCCTGTGATCCCGCAGAAGCCCCTCCCGGGCACAGGGCAGCTGGGGCACAGCAGATTAAGGTGGACCCAGTCAGACGGAGCTCCTGCCCGAAGGGCTCAGCCCAGGACTATACGCTCGGTAGGGGCTGCCCGGGCGCTGGGTTTCGGCCCCGCGCAACCTGCTCCAGCCGAGGGAGACCACCAGGGCCCCACCCCGCTGCCCAACGCAAGAGTGGGCGCCAGGTAAATGGCAGGGGTCCTCCCGTATGGCGGGGGCCCCCAGGACGACAGAGGGTGCCCAGAGAGCAGTGTGGATCCCCCATGGCGTGGTGCGGCAGCCCCCCGGGAGATGGGGAACCCCCAGAGGCGGGTGCTGTGCCCGAGCAGAGCCATCACCCCTGCGGCTGCGCACTGGGAGGGGGCCATGGGGGGTGGAGACTGGCGCGGCGGCTCCGCCCCGGGCCCCCCGGGTGCCGAGTGCTGGCTTCACCCCTGCAGGCGGTGGCGTCTCTGTTCCCCGCTGCGCCCTC